TAGTCTACAAGTTTCCAAAAGGAAAGTTAATCATCTATATTACATCTCTTTTGATCATTTTTAATTAAGACATAAAATTTAATTTTATAAAAAGGTATTTGTACTGATATATTTTGTGAGGGCCGAGGGGGGGAGAAATTTCAAAAACGAACGTTAACTATAATACAGTATGTGATATATATCGTCATCGTCTGCATTGCCGTCTGGACTGCCGAGCGGTAACAATCAACATGTGAGAACAGTTGAGTCAGAGATAAATGCCTCGTTCACAACAGCACAACCCGTTTATTAAACACGAAAGAAGCTTACAAGATTTCCGCGATCTTGGAAGTTCTACGGCGGCTGCGGCCTCTGGGTCTTCCTCTCCTTTCCAAAATAGTCCCATTTTGAAGGAGTGTCCCTTATACGCAAATGAACAATTCCATCACGTATCGACGACTACGGGACGAGGCGGTCGACTTCCGTTGATGGAAAGATGTCGATCCGAGGTCGGGAGATGGAGACGAAAATGGGCGCGAGATACACACACAACAATAGATCCGTCCCTTGGAACTTTCGGGAGGGGGTTTTGTTCGTTTTCCTCCGATTCCCCTTTCCGATTGGTCTCTTCTTGTCACCAGATGACAATTCGAAATCTTTTGGGGGCGCGGGAGAGGTCAAAATCGACGTTTAATTCGAGAGATGGTCGACGGACTTACATTCTTCTATTGTTTAAAAGTTAGCGTCGCGTTTTCATATAAAAAATCTATTTCTAACAACTATATTTTTCCTTTAAAAAAATTTATTTTAACGCGAATTTTAGTGAGGGTTCAGACCTGTCCAGAGTCTCACAATTTTTATTAAAATGTATGTTTTATGTTTGAAATAAAAATATTAGTGCAAAAATTTTTTAAATCTTTTTAATGTTCATTGCAAAAGAAAGTACAATAAGTGCAAGATTTGCTGTCATTAATATAGGACGTAAATAATCAACAAAAACATATTAACTTAATGGCCATATATTATTTTTTCAGCTTAATGACCAATGGAAAATGCACTTTGCTCATGCCGGGCTAGACTTCTTGGTAGATGCAAGCATGAAGCACGTCTTATTTTTTTATTAGTAAAGAAGAAAAAAATAAAACAAGCTTACCACAAGCTTACAAGCTTGGAATAAACCAGCAACTTTAAAAAGAGAATACAAACAAGCAATAAGGCTCAGCCAGATTTTTTGGAACAAGAAAAAGATATAGCAAAACAAATCAACACAAATATCCAGCTGATCTGAACATAATATATTGATAGAAAACTCTACAGATATTATCTGCCCAATGAAGAGTGCTTTTCCCAGAAATGTCATGGCCAGAGTCGGTAGATTAATGTACTGGGCAGAAAGTAAAGTATGTGAAAAATTAACAAACCCAAACATGGATGTTTATTTTTCAATAATGGATATTATATTAAATCAGTGTTCTGTTACATCGATGATAGGATGTGACAATGCTGGTCACAAGTCCTACTTGACCTCCAGATTTTTGCACTTTTTTGTTACCTGTCGATTGCATTTTTTCACGCGAACGATTAATCAATCATTTATTTCATCAGTTGAAAGTAATATAATAAATTTTAAAATAAAATATGCCAAAAATTGATTCGAATAACTTATATATGATTAAATATTATTAAATATTAGATATGAAATATTTGTAGCATGTATGTTAAAACATATCCACGATTGCACAGGCCAATAATTTAAAATAGCNTAATAATAATAATACTATTGTGTCAGTTTTGTTCCTTGTCATTTATTTAACTAAATATCAAACTCAGTGTTTTTAAAACACTTAATAAAATATTAAACACCTTCCATCGCTGAGAAATGTTTATTTAATAAAATACTAACAATTTCAGCCTCATGGAATAAACCATCCTCAGGTGTAAATGAGTTCGAACGTATTTTATTAAATAAACATTTCTCAGCGATGGAAGGTGTTTAAATTAATGTTTTATTAAATGTCATTTATTTATCCATAAACCTGGCTTTGTGTTTAAATAAAAGCTTTTTCATTCTTATAATAAAATGCATATAAAAATTATGAAATCGAACTCGAAGGTTATATATCTTTCAATAAAAAGAAAACATTCGACCTCACAGGGATTCGATCTAGCGGTCTTGTAGTGATTGCAGTGCCCCTGGTGGTAACATTTGTCTCTAGTTGATTCTAGCAACGAGCGAAGATAGGAAGTCGAAAGACCAGTTAATCTACCGACTCT